TAGAAACCTTAAACGCAATATTCGACGGCTGAGAAACGTCGCAACAATATATAAAAGAGAGAATAGATATTTCCCAGCTGTTTTGCAAGTTAAATTTACTATGCCGCTCTAGTTGGTAGAATAAACTGTCGAAACTGTTGAAAAGTCTCATGTCTGATGAACCAATTATTTTATCATAGCATTGAGAACATAAAAAATGCTTCATTAAAAAATAAAGCGTCATAAATATTTCAAATTTTCAATAAAATATGATGCGCGCGTTAATGCATTTTGTTTATAAAAGTCTAATATTGAAATATAGTTTGTAAGTAAATTATTAAATTCCTTCAAAATTGAATATAAATTACCTTTAATAAAAAATGAACGATTTCACCATCAAGGAGTCTTCTGTATGATGAAGTAAAGTCCAGGAGGCTGCCCCATGTTAGAGGGTTGTCCTGTCCTTCTCTCACCTCAAGGCACAGAAACAACCTATATATGTATCACATGATAAACACGTGGATAGAAGGGCGTTGTTATCTAGCCTTAAGCAAAAACAAGCCCTGAAGGCCAATTAATGATGTTGAGGGGTCTGATGGAGCTGCAAGACCAATACTGGTGATGCTTCATCAGGTTGCTAGAACAGCAAGCGATGCAGGTATTTAAAGCAGAGGCCGGATGAGCAGGATAGGGGAGAAGATGAACGGCCAGCTGTACTACAATGTTGTATTGTGCCCCAAAAAGGGTCAGAATTGAAGGAATCATCAGACGATAGTGAAAGGGTCTGCAAGAGTGCATCGAATTGGACGAGCAAGAGTTGACACAAGTCCATCGAAGTCTCCACTATGTATTCTTATTCACAGTGCGGCGACCAGAAGGTTAAGTGGCAGAAGGAATCTGCATCTTTCAAGGCTTTTGTGGTGGCACTCTCCGAGGGTTCAGTGCTAAGAAATCAGATACTGCTTTTCCCATATCTTTAGAAGTCTTTGTCATCGAAGTGGAACCATATCCGTGAGTTTCAGGGTTTCACCTAGAGTCTACCAAATTATGAAGAGAAATGGAAAAATTTACACGGATATTCAACGATGCGATATTAAAGATAAAATATTAGTGAATCAATGTCAGAACTGTTTTTTATTTAATCCTAATCATAAGAGGAATAACTGTCTCAATCCCAAAAAATGTATTAAATGTGAAAAATAGGGAGAACACGAATGCTCGACTACAATTAAATGCTGCAACTGCGTCAAACATCCACATTTTAGAAATAGAGATTTGGAGCATAAACCGAATAGTCAAGACTGCCCAATCTATAAAAAAAGAGATGCAAATCATAATACAAAGAACAGACTATTCTACACATATAGAAGATGCGGGCCAATAATAAACTTCCAGAATGATGGGGCGAAAACTATATATTGACAAAATCATAATTATTCAACAAAATACCAGAAAAAGAAAAAATTGCATAAATGAGCTTTGTGCATCTGATGAAATTAGAAATGCAGATATAGTAATGATACAAGAACCTTACATAATCAAAGAGGAGGTAATATTTCCAGGACCTTGTACAAAATATCAATTGATGAACAGTCACAATATAAATACGGCAATAATTGTAAGAAATAGCAGCTTAAAAGTTCAATTAAGTACAGAATTCACTAACTCATTCGCTACAACTATAACCATACAAACAAAAAGTAAGAAAATATATCTTTCCAACATTTATATACATCCGAAATTAATGAAAGTGAGCACGGGGAATTTATGAAGAATTTAATTAATACAAATTTACAAATACCGGTGATAATTTGCGGCGATTTCAATGCCAGAGCTCCGTTATGGTATGATATCAGGAAAAATTATAATGGACATAGACTGATCCCTATCATAGATGAAATAAACTTAATTATCCATAATAATAAAACTTTCACGTGTCGTGATGCAAGTGTGATTGATCTCACACTAACAAATAAACAGGCAATTGCGGCGATCAGAAATTGGAAGACACAGCAGATATCGCAAATTTCAGATCATGTAGCTATATCTTATGAAATGTATACAAACGAACAATTTAGTTCAGAAAAATATTATTCCACTTGGAAATTTAATGAGAAAAATGCGAACTGGTTAAGTTTTAGTCAGAGAATTAACAGTACTGAACGAGAAAAAATTGAAAACTTACTAGACATAGTGGATACACCAGAAATGATTGATCAAACGGTAAAAGAACTTACGAACATACTGATTGAGGCAGCACATAATTCACTTAAAGTAAATAATATAATATGACAACCAAAAATAATATCAGTAATAAGTGGTGGAATACGAATTTACAGCTTCTAAAGGATCACTGTCATTATCTTAGAAACTGTTACTATAGAAACAAAAATTGGCCTAATCATATTAAACAGTTTTATAAAAGCATACGAAATAAGTATTTACGGGATATAGAAAAAGCTAGGAAAGCATCATGGATAATTTTCTGGAGAAAAACAAGTCGAACAACCCTTATGGAAACTTATATAAGGTGTACAAAAACATCAAAAGTGGATATAAGCGGAAGAGAAATATGCAAATTTTGGAGGGTAATACTGATATGGAATGATTGCAGAAGGGTGAGGAATTATTGAATAACTTATTTCCAGATAATAAATGTGAAGAAGATACAAACATCCATAAAAGAGTATAAGAAATTACAATTTAAAACTACTCAATAAAGAAAAACCGATGGTTATGATTACTGAAGTTAACGACTTAATTGACAAATTAAATCCAAAGAAATCTCCCGGAATAGACAACATCTCTAACAACATGATAAGGCACACTAAACAATTTATAGCTCCTATATTGGTGAAACTATTTCAAAAATGTTTAGACCTACAATACTATCCTGCTGAATGGAAAAGAGCAGAGGCAATAATTATTCCGAAACCTGGAGAAACTGATTTTAATAACTTTAAAAATTATAAACCTTTATGTCTTAATTCCAACATTTCTAAAATATTTGAAAAAATAATTATTAACAGAATAATAAAATATTATGAATATTTTAATTTACTAAGTGATCGATAACATGGCTTTAGAAGATCGAAATCTACTATTACTGCACTAACTGAAATAATAAAAATTGCGTTAGAACATAAAACAAGAGAATATGCAGCAATAATTGCAGTGGATATTAGTGCAGCGTTTGATAATGCATGGTGGCCGGCCTTGATGAAAAGACTAGATGAAGATGGTGTGCAGGCTTCAATGATAAAACTTCTACAATCATGCTTTGATAATAGAAGAATAAGATTTAGATATTCCTCAACTGAAATTAATAAGAAACTAAGTAAAGGATGTCCACAGGGAGGACCACTGTCTCCCACATTATGGAATATTCTTATTAATGAGATACTGAATAATAATCTGGATGATAATTGTGAAACAATAGGATTTACAGATGATATTACGTTAATATGTTGGAATAAAACTCCTGAACAACTAAGAAAGACAATAGATAATGTATTAAGAAAAATCAATAAGTGGTGTGAAAGTCGTAAATTAAAATTGTCAGATGAAAAACAAAAATATTATATTTGTATAAATGCAATAGCTATATAATAGTCTCAGGTAGCAAGTTAATTAAACCGGTTGAAGAACTTAAGATCCTAGGTGTGACTATTAAAAATCACCGAGTCAGAAGCAAACTGGACTTTACGCCTCACGTTAATGAAATGATAATAAAAGTAACTAGAGCTAGTGGATACCTATTTGGCCTGACAAAGAAAGCATGGGGTCTAGACTTTAGACGAAGACTGATATTATATAAGACATTATATCGAAGTGTACAATTACTTATGGTTATCCAATATGGTATTCATTCATAAACAAAAAGTCTAAGGACAAACTAAATTCTCTTCAATATAGTATATTAAAACATTGTATACAGGCCTACAGTACAACATCATCGGATTGTACACATATACTTGCACAAGAGTCCCCAAACTTACTGAATATATTGAATCTAACATGTTGAAAACCGAAATAAATTACAACCGATTTGACTCTTCAAGTAGGAATATAATTTCTAATTATATAAGGGAAAAATTGCAGAAATACTATGAGAAGACTAATACCATTTTCAAGTCCTTCTTCACTGATTCCCAAATACCCAAATATGTCAAGCCAAATTTTTACAATGTCCAATTTTTTACTGACACGGTAACTTTAGATCATATTTGTACAAAGTCAGAAAGACGGATTCGCCTAAATGCTCATGTGATGCAGAAGAAGAAATACCTGTACATTTTCTAACAGACTGTCGACTTGTAGAGTACTTGAGAGTCAAAAATCAAATAAATATAAATTGTCTAAATCAAATAGTTAATAATAGATATATGTATATAAATTTTAATAGATTTTGTTGAATGTTTTTAGTAATAGATAGCCTGGGATCTAATAACTGATATATAGTTATATAAAGTAATACTTAAAGTTGCACCGCATAAGTTTCTTTTCTGTGATAAATCAATATTTATTTCAAAGAGAAATATCTACTATTTCTAACTTTTTTGGATGACGTATGAAAGGGTGAAAATATGAAGAGTGATGGTCTATATATGATTGGATGACGTATGAAAGGGTGAAAATATGAAGAGTAATGGCGAACGGAAAAATAAAAGTGTCCAGGGGAGGGAATCGAACCCACAACCTTCCGCTTACCGGGCAGATGCCATGTCCACTAGGCTACCCTGGACGTATCTTTCCGTTCGTAACTAATACTTAAAGTAACTTATAATACATTATAAAGGACTGCGGCGTATGATTATAAATTAATACTTAAAGTTGCACCGCATAAGTTTCTTTTCTGTGATAAATCAATATTTATTTCAAAGAGAAATATCTACTATTTCTAACTTTTTTGGATGACGTATGAAAGGGTGAAAATATGAAGAGTGATGGTCTATATATGATTGGATGACGTATGAAAAGGTGAAAATATGAAGAGTAATGGCGAACGGAAAAATAAAAGTGTCCAGGGGCGGGAATCAAACCTACAACCTTCCGCTTACTGGGCAGATGCCATGTCCACTAGGCTACCCTGGACGTATCTTTCCGTTCGTAACTAATACTTAAAGTAACCTATAATACATTATAAAGGACTGCGGCGTATGATTATAAAGTAATACTTAAAGTTGCACCGCATAAGTTTCTTTTCTATGGTAAATCAATATTTATTTCAAAGAGAAATATCTACTATTTCTCAGTTATATGCTGTAAATAGCTCTAAATTTCTGTTCTTATCTGTGATGTTCACTAATATTCATTATAGGGCAATTAAATCGTTAACTAACTGACAAATATGTTAATAATTTCTATTAGAATAACTAAAATCATATTAATAATTACTGTAAATAAGCTCTCAAACTTGAGTATGCATGCAAATATCCAAGACGGATATCGCATGCTTTGTAAATGATAATAAAAAATTATCCGTGAGTAATAGGGCGTTATCTAGTCCCCAATCTCAGTGACTCGAATTTAGGTGTTGATATATCTACAAAGTTAATTTGAACACCTTTCATCAACTGCGAGCCGACGTTGAGGTTGCTGAAGCCACGGAGAAAGGAGGCGCTAGGACACTACCCAGCAGCCAGGAGGTATGTTCAGAGCCACATACGAAGTGCACCAGTTGGGCTTAGAGATTAGAGGTGGCTGATTTGGCAAATAGGTATCCATGAAAATTGTGTTCGACTGAAAAGAGCTTGAAGGAGTTAACAGCTCCAAACTAAATGGAGAGGTCGCGAATGAAAGAGGCTCATTTGCAACGGCCGTGTCAATCAGCTCCAAGAGACGGTTCTCCTGGACAAATATTTCTTGTGATATTGTCATTATGCATCATAACATCTTAAATGGCGCTGTAGACAAGAAGTTTTTTAAATGAGTATCTACTTTGTTTTTCCTGGCATCACACCTCAATCCAGTACACTTTCACTTTTATGCTATTTTTCATATCGAAAAGATTACCAAAACATTGTCGTGATATGAAAAGAATTAATAAGGATTTGTACTTACCCTCAGAATCTTTATCAGCATCATCTGACATATCAATCAACTCTCAATTATACAGATAAGTAACTTCGGTGATTAACACTATATGGCAACACATTTTTTAAATTTAACTATTTTTTGTGCTAATCAATATAAAATGTTTTGTTGATATCTTGTCGATTAAAATTGAACAGTATGTGTGTGTAAATTATTCTTTATTTTTATAAGATAGTGTTAACATTTTAAACCTATAAATTCTATGTACAATGCCTGGTATGATGGAATATCGCCAACGAGTTTCATCAACTCACTCACCGAGCATTTATTATTAATTTATTATTTATTATTAAGTTGTTGAAGTGATAATCCTGTTGAAGGACTGACAAGTCCGAAAGCTTGAAAATATAAAAAATGTACAATCACGTAAAGAACTTCAAGAGAGAATCTTTTTCACAAACATTGAGGGGTATAGAAAAGGCTAGCAATTTATGCGGTCATGGCAGACAAACCAATTGTAATACAGTTCTTGGCCAAAGAGCTAGCCATGCAGGTCCAGTGACCTCTGATTGATGTTGAAGGCCTCCTGTATAAAGGTTCTGAGGTGAAGGTAGTGTACCATTGAGGAGAGCCCTAAGGAGCTCATTTTCCAAAAAAAAAAAAAAGAAGGGGGACCATTATTCGTCGGCCGTTTCCAAGAATTTCACGAGATGGTTCTACTAGACTGATAATCCTTGTCCTATAGTCACTTCTACTGTAATTTTCATTTTGATAAACTAAAAAGGAAATATAAAATATTGTTACTCGTACCTAGACGCTATTTATGTACTTTGTATACTCAGGATGCCACAAAGATACACATGTGAATTCGAAGGGATTGCAGCTAAAGTTAACGCTTTATTGTATCTCACACAATAGGAGAAATACAACAGTGGGACTTGCCTTCAACCTCCCCGTCAGAAGAATCCTTGGCGCCGTGGACGTCCTCTTGTGTAGCGTTCCGCTCCACACTATACATGTGCAGCTTAGACTACACCGCCTTGTAGGTCGCTCCAATGTCATTCTCTCCTGGCAGCGCCTTATAGGATCATCCACACCCGGAGGCAAGTCGCAACGTCAATGTCACCAGACTGACTTCTCCCCTAGACTGTCATGTCCTCTCGGCGCACAAACCCCCTTCAGGCGGACCGCTATCTCGGCTTCTTCCTTCACTACGGCACCAGCTGGACTGTCTGTTTGCCGTCCCTTCCTCTGGAATCTGTCAATAAACACTTCCTTGTTGAGGGGGGGCCCTGCATGCCTTCTTTTCTTGGCCTGGCCACATATTCTCTTTATCTTCTTTGCTGCACCGCTTCAATATTTTATCTTCTGACTTCGAGGAAAATTTGATTTATACGAATGAAAGAAAAAGCGACGGGGGACAATCATATTAAGATAAGATGTAAAATTTAGTAAACACATATAAAAATAGCTAATCAGTTGCTTCGTATTATATCACATTAAGTACAAATTCACGAATAACGTTCCCCGCCACTTTTATTTTCAATCACATAAATCTAGTTGCTAAATTGCTGTAGTGGATATATTATTTTTTACTTTTTATTGCATTTAAATGAAAGCTTTTATAAAAATGTTTTCCATTCATTAATTATATTCATTATAAAATTTTCATATACATAAAGGTAAACCTATTTTAAAAGAACTCATAGATATCCGGCCAGAGTGTTCTTTAGGTAGAGGTATCCTCTTACCAGAGAGTTGTTAATTAGTAAAATAGTAATTTTGGTGATGAAAACTGTTCTTTGTAGAGAGGTGTTATCTAGCGAGAGTGTATTCTCATTAATATTTAACTGTATATTTCATTTTATATAAATACAAGCACCTTTTTTCTTTTTGCATGTCAGAAATTTCTGAATTATAGATTGAAACTGTGTTATTTTTTGGAGGTAACTTTGATACAAAATATAAAGTTACCTTGAATGGCGTATCAACGATATGTAATATTCAAAACTATCTTTAGAACAGGCTAATTGACATGTTCAATTTTACCGCATTATTCCATAATATATGACCAGCTCCAGATATACCTTTAACATGTAAATAGGCTTAAATAAATGGTGTTTGTATCAACATTCAATTTTTTTATACAAGGCACTTTAGCCAGAAAAGTTTATATTTTCCCTGAGATGGGGATAATTATTTTTTAGAGAAAAAAACCTTTCTGAGGCTGAAGTGTCCTTAATTTAAAAAATAAGTAAATATATACGATAACAAAGTCAATGTGTGTGTGTAATAATTTACACACTGTGATATTCAAATTAGTCTTATAACGGGTTAATTTGCATTTATATATAATATTTGTTTGTAAATGATACCAAATATTTTTAAATGAATGCCTTTTTTGCCTTGCTACACTACTATATCGTCTAGTAATATTATTAATATTAATTACAATGATACATGCTTGTAGAATCAATATTGATTTAGCAAGACTGATGCAGAACCCGGGCGTAGCTGGATATTGGTATTGTAATTTAAATGAAGAATATAAATACAATAATTGATCAATAGTTAAAGGATAATAATGCCAGAAGAAACTTTATTTCCGTGACACTTCTCGATGGATTTTGGTTATTCTCTAATAATAAAATTTAGGTTGAACAGGCAGGGGGTCGGTAGAAGGGTGGTCTAAACCTTTGGTTTTCGACCGCTACGACTCGGGTTCGATTCCCGCATTGGGCACTTTTTTCTGATTAAAAATATGCTCCAATGACCCCCGATTCTTGCAAAAGTCTAATCTCAACAGCGAGTGCAAGTAACCAAACAGGGCTCTGGCACACTTGTAAGTGCAAAGTCGAACTGCTTTTCTCATTTGTAGACATGTGGTACACTTACAGTTGAAGCAGTCGCCTTTTTCTACCCACCATCATCATCATGGCCTGTACCACGTGTACAAGATAAAGCAAAAAAAAGGTTGAACAGGCACTTGGCATAAACTATTTGTTAATGAAAATGAAGACATCAAAGAATATACCAAAATTTATAATTAAAAACGAATTTATAAAGGTTTCATAAAATTTGAAAAATCTATGCTTACCAGAAGCGGATTTTGCACTTAAACCTAAAACACAATTCTTCCATTATTATCAGGGGATTTTACTTTGATGAATCAGATTGAGAGAAATTGAACAGAATTTTATTTAATTCAATTTTGACCAATTTTTAATATGGACCACGTTATCTTATTGTGTGGAATTTTTACTTGTATACTTTTCAAAAAGGAAACACTCGATATTCCAGAAATGTTGAATAATTTAGTTGAACTTAGAGCAGAGGTATAAATTTAGATGAATAATTAATTTAGCACAGCTAATTGAAATATCATAAAAATCTAATTTATAAAAGTTATATATAATTTAAAATCCATGCTTACCAATAGAGCCTCCTAAGTTAAAACCTACACACAACACAATTCTTACGTTACTACCATGGGATTCACACTATATTTCATTTACAACTATCAAGGCTAATTTTAAATAGGTAGCATGTTTTATCTGGGTCTGGAGCCTTTCAGGTACATTTTTTTAAAATGAAACACTCGATCCTTTTAAAATGTCGAATAATTTGGTTAAACTAAGAGCAGTGTTTTCAATTTAGATGAATATTCAATTTAGCATTCTCTTCTATATTACAATTACAAAGAAAATAACGATAATGAATAAATGTTTGTTTTTATCCTTATTCCTAATACACACGTTGTTCGGGCCATGGTAATCTCAGCCGGTATTAATTCCGCAAGTCTTTGTGTTGTTGAAGCCTCTATCAAGTCGAGTTAGATTTTAGGAAACTACATGTACAAATATTCTTTATTATAAAATATGTTAGAACGAAAATTTCAAATATACCGCGAATGTTTTACTTTTGAACGAAAAATCGAAATTTATATTAAGGAGAAATAGCGATTATTTCTAAACTTAGGGATGAAGTATGAAAGGATGAATTGTGACGAGTAATGATAACCGAAAAATAAAAGTGTACAGGGTTGGCAATTATGGCAA